GATACAATAGTTAAAAAAGAAAAGAGTTTTGTAAGAACATGCAGTATTTTTTAAATTGAATAAAGTATTTTACTTTTAACTGCTATTATAATAAAATTTAAATAAATATTTGTTTAATAGGATAAATTTGCAAACATTAATTGGTATTTGGTTGCTTTTATTATGTTAGAACAGAATACAAAATACTATTTGTATGTTAGTATGTTTGAATACAACATACTATTTGTATGTTGTATTCAAAAACTTTTAATAGAAAACATAACAAAGTAGATTATTCTTTCCTATTATAAAATGACAATTGATATTTTGTTTACATTATGATTCCTTAAAATATACTATTATGAAAAATTAATTTAGTTTAATAGCTAAAATTTATAACATTGCAATATATAACTGAATTCAATAATTGTTATTGAAGAAGCTAAGTTAATTTTTTAAGTTAATTCTGTACACTCTGTTGTATATGTCTTAAAATTCAAATATTTTTCTTATGAATAAGTGTTCAGTCATATTTACATTAAAGACATATGTTCTTGTTTGTTATATATTGTGAGTACTCCCATAATGTTTAATCACAGACCCAATATATGGAGCAATGCAGTCAACACCTTTTATTGGAAGAGATCTGCCTTTTACAATGATCAGAAGAATTGAATAGCATATGTGGATGGACTGAGGCAAGGACTCTATTTACAATTAACATTTATTTGAATAAAAGGAGGCTTACAACATTCTGATATCTCCCAGCTTGGATCAAGCTTGGAGGGAAAAGTCCAATTGGTATTCATTGTTGTGGTGCAGGTCCTTATGATGGTTCTTGTGTGCTGATAGTTCCAGGGCTCTCCACTTCATTTGCCTCAGAATTGATGTTTACACTGGAAAATTGAAGAATCTTGTCAATCTAACTGAATGTTCTACTAAAGTACTGAGTTTGGAAAAACTGTTTCATTTGGAGAAAAAAATCTGTGACCTTTCTAATGAATGGCATGCACAAAGCCCTTGGTGGATAAGTGTCTGTATCTTTGAGTTTCAAACTTTTTAAAGAGTTTGTCCCTCAGTTCAGACAATCTGGTTGGTCCCAGTATCCTCTCTTTACTTCCCAATTGATCTCTCACATGTTTCCAAGGATTATTCAGAACCAAATTTGGGTTGGAGGAAAAGTTAGTCATTAGTCTTTAATTCTATGCCATATCCCAACACTGGCTGGAGATGTTTATTGAATTTTCAGGATGTCTGCTCATAATTCAGAGTGAAGTGTTTTCTTTCTTGTCACTAGAAATTTCCAATTGCCATTAAGCAACATTTTTATGATGCTAGATACTTCAATTTGATGTTTTTCACACTCTTGGGATTAATTCTCAGTTTGATGGTCTCTAAAATTATGGAATGTGAGCTTGAGTCTTACTCAGGGTCTCACAATACTGTTCGATGTAGAAGCTTAGTCAATTCTGATGTAGAAGATACATTTTTTCTTTTTTTACTTTTTAATGATGCAAGTCTGTTACTAATCATTTATCAATATGGAGGATCTCTGAACATTTTTTAGAAACATTTGTATTCAGTCTCTTGTGACTAATACATTTGTTTAATTAAAAAATAAATAAAATTTCAATAAAATAAATAAAATAAAATAAATATNTACTTTTTAATGATGCAAGTCTGTTACTAATCATTTATCAATATGGAGGATCTCTGAACATTTTTTAGAAACATTTGTATTCAGTCTCTTGTGACTAATACATTTGTTTAATTAAAAAATAAATAAAATTTCAATAAAATAAATAAAATAAAATAAATATTAATAAAATTATTAATGTTGTATAAATAATCATTCAGATTGAAACTACTACATTGAATTTCCATGTCATGAACAATAAGTTTTAAATTATCACAAAAGCAGAAAAATGTATTTTTAATTTTGTACAACTATTTTTATATACAAAAATATATAGAGTATTTATTGATAAGGATATTATTAAATTTTATGACATAGATAACATATTGAAATATTTTGTATAAACTTTTGTTTTAGTAAACTTCAGTCAGAAATTCAAGATAAGGAAAAATTATTACAATCTATAAAACAGCAATTAGAATCAAATACAGAGCAATTTGAATCATTTCAACATTCTCAGAATATTGTACAAAATGAAAATAAGAAATTGCTTGAAAATATTGGAGTTTTGACAAAAGAAAATCAGGCAAGTAAATATAAATTTATTATTTTATAGCTTTTAAAATATAGCATATATTAAAAAGCTATTGTTTTTAATTCAATTTTTAGGAATTGATTGAATCACAAAGTTATGATACAGTTAGGTAATATTTTTATTTTTAGATTCTAAGTAAAGAATTGGAAAAAGTACACAGTGAAAAAGAAACGTTGAAAAGACAAATTCAAGAATATGTTACTGAAGTAACTCGTGTCGAGGAATTACTTGCTCATAAGGTAACTTAATATATCTTATATACATAATATACATTATTTTTTACACATATTATATATTGAGTGTAAAAAATAAACACTTTTAACATATATTATGCTTTTATTTTTTAATGAAATTTTAAACATAAGTTGACTCTAATGAAAGTTTTCACTTTCATTAGAGTCAACTTATATTATCTCTAATTTTCATATTCTAAATGTGATATATTCTTCTAACTAGTTTTTCTAGCATAAATTAAATATTCACTAACAGTTTTAACTTTGTTCATCAATGGAGTAGTCATAAAAATGTTGGTATGCAGAATAAGATTGTCAAAACTTAAATGAAAATATGAGAACTATTATGAAAAGCTATAAAATAAAATTATATATATCATTTTAAAGAATTTCAATTTAAGACAATGTCAAAAATTAAATATCAAAATAAGGGATGTCCCAATAGATACTACCAGATTTGAATTTTACAAAATTTTTGTTGTGTTGTTTTTTGGCCAGTAATATTCGATATTTGACATGTTGAGAAATTAAGAGGAAAAATTAATTAGTACACAGTTGCAGAATATGTTGTTATTGCACAAAAATCAGCATTATTTAATAACAATGTAAAGAAAATTATGTACTGATGTTGGTAAGAATTGTGCGCTCAGTACCAAAGGAATCCAAAAGTTAATTGTGAGGTTTAGAGTAACTGATTCTGTAGAACAGTGTTTTTCAACCTTCTTGAATACGCGACCCCTTTACAAGTTAAAAAATTCTGGCGACCCCCCAGGGCCATATTTAAGCTATATCAGTGATTTTAAAAACTACGTATTTAATTTTGTCTTTAAATATTGATCAAAAAACCAATTGTACTGTAAAATAAACAGGCAGAGCCTTCTCACTGAAATTCTAGTTTTTTTTATTGTAGTGTAGGACCTACAAACACTTGTCTTTTTCTTTCACCCACGACCCCCGTATAAGGCTTTGTGACCCCCTGGGGGTCACAACCCACAGGTTGAAAAACACTGCTGTAGAAGATGAATGCATCTATGCCTGTATAGTGGATACTTGATTGAGGATATAGAAAATATTCATGAAAGCATTGTGGAAGTTAACCTGAGTATCCATTGGACACCAGTCGAAGTAGCAGTGTAGTCTATGTTCAATGTTGTAGAAAATTTTAACAAAAGATTTGTATATGCATTCTTACAACATTTAGTTGACTTAAGAACTGCTCAAACAAAACATTCAAGTCAATGTTGCAGAAAAACACCTCATTTAAGGTCTTTTTCTGCAACAATGGCTGCAATTTGGTTGTTTAACCAATGTCATATTTTATGTGTAAGGCCTCACTTTCAATAAATATTTGACAGAAAGAAACCCATCTATTTTAATTTAATAAAAATGAAATCAGAATTTAATTTGAACTGTAATTAGGATTGTTTTAGTGTGAAAAGAAAATAAACAGCACACATGAATTAAATAGAATAGAGTGATGCCTCGTATAATGTACTTAATCCATTCCGGGTGCACGTCCGTTAAGTGAAAAGGCCGTTATATTAAACGCATTTTCCCATAGAAATACATGTTAAAACATATAATTCGTTCCGCAGCATAAAATAACCGTACTGTACCATAAAAAAAAATGAAAATGGAGCAGTCACCAATTATGTGGGTAGTCAGATGTTGTGAGGAGGAGGTTGAGGAACACTTTCTTCACACATTCATACAGATACAGACTTTTTACACATTGCAGCAGGTTTCTTTTTATTGTTTTTTAATCGGAGTCAGATTCAGGAGAGGCTACCGGAGCTTGCAGGGTTAACTCCTCTTGTTCCAGCCTTTGTTATTTGGGAGCTAGCTTCTTGAAAAATATGTCCAAGGTGGTCTGTTTCTCTCTCTTCTTCAACAGCTGTTGGAAATGACGGGCAAGGGTGTCATTGATCCTGTTGTCCTCAGCTCTGTTTGGATAATGAGTGTAGGTAAACTCCTGAGCCTCTCCCCATTTGACAAGGAAGTTTTTGTCAACTTTCACTTCTTCTGATGATTTCTTGCATTGTTTCAATTGAAATCACTTTTCTGGTTTTTTAGAAGCCATGATATGCACAACACTTGAATAAATGTAAATACCCTGCACTGCGGTGATGTACGTAATAAACAAGGGAATCCCAACGGGAGCTCTGTACTTCAGATATACTGATAATATATTATAAAAATAGCAGATTGTCATTGGCAATGGCAAAAGAGTGGAAACATCATTCGCACTTGTTCGCAGAAAGACTGTTGTTCATCTCACATAACTGCCGAATGGAAAGTCTTGTTCGCAGCCAGTCCGTTGCTCGAGTCACGTAATGGCCAAACAGAAAGTCCGTTGTTCGCAGCGTCCATTATTCGAGGCGTATGTTATATGAGGCACCACTGTATTTGATTGATGAAATTATTTTATTATTTAAAAACTGAGGTAATTATAAGGAATTAAAATAAACTGGTAACTGGAAATAAAAAATAACCTGACTATAATTTTTATGGGTAGGACTGAGTTTTTAAAGAAATTGTAAATTCTAATAATAACAGAAACTTTAATCAAATGTCTCCCCACTCAAAACATGACACATGAGCATCCTCTATCCCCCCATTCCCTTGACTTTTAACTACTAAAATTTAATAGCATCAATGCCTCAAACATAGAAATAAATTTACCAAGTTTAAAAATTTTTGGTTCATCCAGTCCTGAGATATAGTGCAAAACAAATGCATGTGTATTCACAAACACATACCAATTTTTGTAAGGGATTTTTCTATTTTAAGGCTTCTGGAGTGTCAAAACACCGAGAAATGCAAAAATTCGGGAGGTCAAAATTTGACCAGTCACCATACTTTCTCTATGTTATATTCTATAACAGCCAGAAGAATAATTCTGTTTAATTTTTTACTCTATGTTATTTTCAGTTAATTATAGTAATCTGTTTTTAGATTACTATGAAAAATTTTAATTTTGTTTACTATTTTAAATTCTTATATAAAAATGAAGCTATGTTATGTCGTACATTTTATAAGAAAATTTAGAATTTAATATTTTTATGTGTTGTTTGAAGAATTAAAATATAGTGTGAGTGTGGGTAAAAAAATATAAAATAATTTCTATTTTCTAATTAATTAATATTTTTGAATAATAATAATTTTAAAAATTGTTTTCATATATTCTCTTAAATTTACATTTTACTAAATAATTATTTTTGTGTTAAGTTTTATTTTTCATTACTTTTATATTTATGATCTTATTTTTTTATATTAATCTTTACTCTCTCTGCTGTTTATATTCATTTCCTTTCTTAGTTGTATTATTTTTTCAAAATTAAAATATATGGACATAGAATTATATATTGGCCTAAACTTATCCAAGATTTTAATTTTTATTTGTATTAATTAGCAGCTAAAGCTTTTGCACATTAAGATTTTGTAACCTCTAAAAAACAATCTGCATTGATACGTTAAAGTTTTCCTGTCTAATATGTGCAAAGAATATGGATATATAATAAAAATATATTTAGTTTAATATATATTTATAACATATATTAAACTATATACATTAAAATATATAATATATATTTTATAATAATTTATTATAAAATATTTTATAAGAAATTATTAGACATATAAATTTTATATTCTTTTATGAAATTTTGTGATCTTACCCTTTTTTGTAGAATCTTCATTATAAATTCACGTGTGAAGTTATTTGCTTTTTTTATTTTATAAATGGAATAATATCTAAACATATATCTGATTTTATGTCCCTTATGATAGTTTTTTTTAATTCATTAATATGCAAATTAAATAATGTCCCTGACAATTCCTCTCAAATAAACTTCTGAAATTAGATTAACCTTAAAAATAGGACATTAGTTAAGGTCAAATCTATTCATATATCAGTTAGTATATTTATCTTTATCAAGATATGATAAATTAGAGGAAATGACTAGGAGGAAAAATGTTTTCCTCTTGGCTATTTCTATTCATTTAACAATCAAATTCTTGATTACATCAATCTCCAAGACAGTTTTTAACATATCCAATTTAATATCATTTGAATGCCCAGTTTTATATTTCTATTAATCAGTAAGTTAATTCTAAAGCAAATATTTTTTATGGTGATGTCCAAAAAAATAAAAAGTANGAGTTTTTCAGGTTTTCTACATGTTAGTAAAACCTAAATATGGTCCAGCTTTCCATAAAAGTCTTCCTGGGGTGAACATCCTACTATTTCTAATAGGAAATCCAGGTGATGTAACTGGCAATGCATCAACATGGCAAGTGGGAGTTGTAGTTCAAGTTCCACTCCAGGCTGATTCTTTTCTTGCAGAACCTTCTAAATTAATTATAAAATGTATTGAGAGATGGTGCCTAATGTCTACTTCTAGGTCAAATCTCTTTTCATTTAATTATTAATAGTGGCATTATTATTGCCCAATATAATTTGGTAATGGTTTGGCATGCATATGATGATTAAAAATTACAACTATTACAAATTATTATTAATTTGTAACAGTTTATACTAACTTTAATTTTATTTGTTCCATTATAATAGACAAAATATTTTATAAAAATGTTTTGAACTTAAAATTTATTTAATTTTTGTTTATAGGAAAGTTGTTAGAAAAAATGTTGAAAAGAACACGAGAAAAGTTTGCTTATGATAAGTGTTATCCTCATAAATTCATTAATAAACTGTAGAAAGGGAAATTGCTTCTAAAATCTACATCATTAATTACAACTAAATCTATCTGCAACTATTGTTATTCTGAATTAATATTTTTCAAAGGATATTATTTCAGACTTAGCTGCATATGCTAAAATTATACTTAATTTTTTTTTAATTATTTACATATGTACTGTACAGTACATTTTAATGCTAAATTTGAAAATGGCATCATCATCATCATCATCATCAGTAAAGTTAGAAAAGTTACAAAGATCGTCATTGTTTTGCATATAAAGTTTTTGGCTTTGAATCTGAAATTCTTTTTTGATATCAAATCACATTACAAATGACTTAATTGTTGAAACCACTAGTTTAATGACTGTGAAAATAAAGATATAATCTCAAAAGTTGTTTATCCTTTAGCAAAATTTTTTCTCTAGCAATTATCACTGATAATTTCATAAAAAAAGAATCAGTATAGTTTGATAAATTTTAATTTGTAAGATTCAATTTTTTATCAAAGAAGAATTAAATTTTTAATTAAAAATTTTTTTTTTTTTTAGAGAAAAAGCAAGTCAGGAATTGAAAAGATTACGGCAACATCATCAGTTTTTTGATTCCAGTACAGGATCTTCAGATCCTCATTCGTCTCCTCAAAGCTTACCGTCTAGTAGTCATCATATTTTATTTACACGTTTTGATAAACAAGTTCAAACCTCACCTCTACGTGATCAAACTTCAATAGAAAAACATACTGATTTTGTGTATACGTCCTTAACAGAAGTATCTACAAAGTGAGTTCATATTCTTTAACCAATATTTAAAACATCTATTGATCAGTTAATGCTTATTTCTTAATGATGATATTATTTTAAAGCAAAGAGAATTCTCAGCAGAAAACCATTTTAATTCAGAATTCAGATGAAGAAAANTCTTTTTCCCTAACAATCTGTTTTAAAATTACTATTTTATTTAAATTTCACAAGTTTTTAAATTTTAGGAACAACAAAGAATGGAATTGCTTGAACAATATAGGAGTTTAAATGAAGAAAATGTTCAATTAGAAACTCAGACACAGCATTTAGCTTCAATAAATTCATCCACAGAACTAGAAGTATTAGTGAAAGAAAAAGAATTGAAAATGTGCCATGATAGGATTTCTGCCCTTGAAGATGAAATTGAAACAGTGAGAAAAATTTTTTCTTTTTATTATTTGTATTGATGATTTTCTGAAGTATACTTTTAATAGCATTTGAGTGCAGAACAAAAATATCGCACAGAAGTAAATATGTTGAATTCATCTGTACATGATTTAGAATCAGAATTACTACATACTCAAACAATGATTAGACAGTTACAACAGGATTTGGCATCTACACGATCTCTCTGTGTTCAATTGGATTCTACAAGAGATCAATTACAAAGACAAAAAGCTAACGATGAAGCTGAAAAGGAACAGGTAGGCCCGTACAGTAATAGTATCTAAAATTTGAAATAAAAGCAATTGCCAAATTTTCTTTAATCATTTTAATAAAATTTCTTTTGTAAAGTTATTAACTCAAATTCAAAAACTTCAAGAAGAAACTAAAATGTTGAGATCTCAAATTTCAAATGAAAGAGCTTCTGTCTTAAATTTAGAAGGTGTATTAACAGTATCACGAGAGAAAGAATTTCGAAATCATTTAAGTGTTCAAGAACTTACAGCTGAAGTCAAACTATTAAGAGAAAGATTGAAAGAAAATGATGAAAGATTGTAAATATTGTTTATGATATTTATTAAATTTGTTTATCTATTCTAAATAAGATTATTTTTCTTAAATTAAAGAGAAATGCAAAGTAAAGAATTGGCTAGTTCTCGGACAAAAGTGGCAGAATTAGAAATGGCATCAGAAAGATTGAAAAGACAAGTCACAAATGAAAAATTTGAAAAGTAAGATTAATTTTTAAACCTTTAATACTATAATTTGAAGCTTTGAAAACATTTGAACTTTTTTAAAACTTCAATTATTTATTTTGATAATTTTTCATTGGTTTTTAATCATAAATTATAGTTTAACAAATTCACTCATATAGTTTTATCATCATCACTTTCTAATTTCTTGATTATTTTACAAAGAATTTCTTAACATTCTCACAAAATTATCTAAGTGAATAAAGGGAAAATTTAATATATTTTATTCATAACACTTCAAAATATTTTGAGCTTAAAGGTGCTTTATTCAACAGATTGTACTCATATTAAGTTTTGAAGTTGCATAGGTTCTTTAGTTTTTTTATTTCTTACTTTTGGAAGCATTTTTCAAATTTTACAGACAATTTATTAAGTGATAAAGTACACAATAAAACTTTGAATTAATGAATAGGGTAATATAAAACTAAGATATGAATATTATCTAGAAAGCTGATCACTATTTACTTTATTTTGCATATAATCCAGAAAATTTGTATCTTTTTTTTTTTTTTATGGTTTTACGCCCCTTACCGCTCAGGGAGCACAAAGAATCCAAAAGTTTAATTTTAGTCGCGCGCGCAACGCCCAGAAGGTGGAATCGAACCACTGACATTAATCAACTACAGGTTTGAAGCCCGCACCCCGGACCACCAAGGTTCATCTGGACAAATTTGAATCTTGTAGAATGTAGAAAACATTGATAATTGTTTTGTATTCAATCAAAACATAGATTAATTACTGTTTAGAATAACTGATCTGTTATTTATACAGTAACAGAAAAGTGATCATCACCTGATTCATTTGATTAATGAATTATTTATAAAAATTTGTTTTTATTTTGATACATAATTTTTTGAACAAATTCAATTTTTAAAACATTATTGCGTTAAAAATTTGATCCTTATTCGGGTTAACATTTAATAAAATTGATTAAAAGAACTGGAAATTTTTAAAATATAGTTATAGATTCTGATATTACCTATTTATATAAAAAAAGATATTTTTTCTAGATTCTTTGTTATCTATTTCTGTGATTTTTGTAATTAGAGAACTACAATATGATTTGTTGATTATTAGAATGGATTATTAATCAAATGAATTTAATTAGTCATGTATAAAGTGATTTTTAGAGATGGTTCTCTTGCTTAAAATAAAGATCAAATCTTTGTTTTAAATGTTTTAGTACAAGAAAAATTGAAATAAAAAGAAGATATTATATGTAGTATTCTTTAATTTCAAATCTGCATTTTTTAGCATAAATCATTTCATTTTATGGTTATTACTTGGAAGAATAAATATAAGCAAACATTTTTTGAATTAACAAAGAATATTTTTAAAAAGCAGGTTTCTAGCTTGGAAATTTTTTCTTCAAACTGGGGAATTTTCTAATCAATTAGGAAAATGGAGAGGAAGTATTAATGGGGAAATTTTGTGGGGAATTCTAAATTCCTGAAAGGAAAATTGGAGAAAATAAAATTTTTTACTTAATTAATGATAATTTAACTTTTTATTATTAAAAAAACAATTAGTTTTTTTATTTTGATTGTATTTCACTTATTATTATTGTACTGAACAGGATAAAGTTGTGATTAAGTCTGTTAAAAATAAATCACATAATATTATTTTGATGGAAGTAAAGAAATAAAACAATAAGAAATGTGATCAAATTGACTTTGTTTTTAATTTCATATATTTTTTAATTTTGCTTATTTATTTACCTATATTTGCTTTATTTCTATAAAATAAAAACATATTATGTAATTGCACTAGAAAACTTTGTATCAGTGAAGTGGTTATTAAAATAAACCAATTATAATAATTTAATTGGTTATTACTAAAGAAAAACTACTACTATAAGATTTTGTATGCTCATGTTAAGTTACATTTGACACGAGTTTATAAAATTTTATATAAATTTCCACAATGATTAAATAAGAGTATAAATTTATAAATAATTAAGTATATAATTCTGAATACAATATTATTACCAACTAAAAATTATTTAAAGTACTTAAATTCATAAAGATATAAGAAAGCAGTTGAAATTAAATATTTTTATATTTGTGAAGTATTATGAAAAGCATGCGAAACATTTAAATAAATACAGAATTTGAGTTATTATCACCATATGTACTGTACAGTACATAAACAAAAAGAATGTGACAATTATATGAGGATTTTAGAAAGATATAAACTGAAAATATGGTTTTATTTCCATCTTCCCTGCTTCTAACTAGTGTATATAACAAGATATCTTTTGTATTATCAAATATTTTAAAGGAAAATGTGTCATTAAGTGAAAATTCAAAACATTTTATTGAAATATTTTTTTAAAGTTAAGTTATGAGTATCGAATGATTAAAATGTTATCTATTATATTGATATTTATGTGAGAATTTGTTCAGAAATCCCTTAATTTTGAGATAATTGACTCCATCTATCTGACAATCTTATTTTAAAATAGCTGCTACAAGAGTAAAATCTTTCAAATGTAACACTGCATGTTACATTTGAAAGATTTTAGTCTTGTAGCAGCTTTTTTTTTTTTAATACACTGTTTAAAGCCATCAAATCTACATTCGATTTGCTGGCTTTACATGTAGTGCCATCTATTGGGAAAAAATTTAAGAAAATAATAAACTAAATATAATTCTTACAAAAAAAGGATATTTTAAAAAATATATATTATATTCACTTAATTACTGTGAAAACGATATAGCACATCTATTTAGCTCCATATCATTACTGCAACAGGTAACATAGCACTTGCCTGCATGGAATCAAAAGTGTTATCCTGTGAAAAGTCTATAAGTATTTAATTTTCCACATCAAACAACTTGGGTTTTTTCATTTCTGAACAGTACTTTCTTAATTGTAATGAGTGCCCTCCAGTAGCCGAGTTGATAAAACCACTGAACACTAGTAGTTAGTCGTAGGTTCGAACATGGCCAATGGGCTGGCCATATAGAGTTTTTCAGGTTTTCTACATGTTAGTAAAACCTAAATATGGTCCAGCTTTCCATAAAAGTCTTCCTGGGGTGAACATCCTACTATTTCTAATAGGAAATCCAGGTGATGTAACTGGCAATGCATCAACATGGCAAGTGGGAGTTGTAGTTCAAGTTCCACTCCAGGCTGATTCTTTTCTTGCAGAACCTTCTAAATTAATTATAAAATGTATTGAGAGATGGTGCCTAATGTCTACTTCTAGGTCAAATCTCTTTTCATTTAATTATTAATAGTGGCATTATTATTGCCCAATATAATTTGGTAATGGTTTGGCATGCATATGATGATTAAAAATTACAACTATTACAAATTATTATTAATTTGTAACAGTTTATACTAACTTTAATTTTATTTGTTCCATTATAATAGACAAAATATTTTATAAAAATGTTTTGAACTTAAAATTTATTTAATTTTTGTAATGTTATCCTATTTTTACATGATAGTTAGCTGAATAAATTATACTAAATTATTATTATATAACACGATTTTGGAAAAGTTTTTCCTTCATTGTTCTAAATATAGTTAAACTTACAATCTTTGCGAAATGAATTGATATACACATAAATCAACTATACAATGGTCATATAAATCAGTCAGTCTGCATATGTATTTCTGTACTTTTCATTCTTTACTGCAATTTATATTTATTTATTTTTTGTTTTCTATATTATACAGTAGATCTGATCATGCAAATGATAAAATATACTATTTTAAATAAATTATTTTTTTTTTGGTATCATATTGATATACAAGCAATTTTTAATATTCTTTAGGATATCTTTAAATACTTAAGATTTCAGTTATTAAATAATTACTTGTTTAATTTTTTGGTTGAATTAATCATATTCTTTTCTGATATAAATTATTTTCTAAAAGTCTGTTCTATAAAGTATTGTAGCTTATGTATTCACAAAATAAATATTGTAATCAGAATAAATACCTGTTATGACCTGCCATGGTCAAAATAAATTTACTTACTGAAGAAAACAAAAATATAGTTCAAATTAAGTAAGTAAATTTATACTGTAGCAATTATTTTTTTATATAGTCTATGATTAATATATTATCAGCACACATCAGACTGTGTGGTGAATAGTATTGATTATGCTAATTGCAGAGATAACATATACAGTGAAACCCTGATATATGAGCTTATTCTGTTCTTGAAACTTATAAATCAAAATTGCATAAATAGGGATAAGCTTTTTACATTATTTCTTACAATCAAAATTTGTTCCTCATTTCAGCATAATTCATTCATTCTATCCATATTCTCTAAATAAGATTAAAAGTGCTACAAAACAACCTATTTAACTGTCAAACAATGATTCAAAATAAAATGAATAAAATATAAGCAGTAGACTATTTACCAATATAGAAGGAATTAATTTGACATAAAATGGTTGATAAATATTGCATTTGTTCTTTTATCTATTTATTTACTGTATTTACTCGCATATAAGACGAGGTTTTTATTCATTTTTCATTGCTTCAAAAACCTAAGTTGTCCTATACGCATGAGCAATGGATTCTTTGCATTTTTGCAATAATTCTTGTGATCTGTGTGTTTGCATTTTTTACTGGATGTTCACCCTCTGGTGTTTAAAAACAAAAGTATTTTTGTTTTTAAACACCAGACAAGTATAATAAAACTGTATAATAATGTAATTTCATTAGTGATTGCAGAGATATACAATGTGCAAAGTTTAGTGAACTTTATTACAATGAATAGTACTGTCTCTTGTGAATGAAGATAAGATGAATGAAACAAAAAAAATGGAGACTTTAAGAACAGTATAATCACAGTGTGTGGGAATTTCAGTCTCATTGCATTCATGATTAGAATACTTTATTATTGAAATATTGATTAGAGTCATTATCAATATTCTGTTGAATATTTCATCTTGTGAATGGGGAATATCATATTCATATATCATGACAATAAGAAGTTTTCAAAATTTGGAAGTAGTCTTTGCCTAAATGGCAACAATATTAAAGACATTCTATTTTGTCCTGTACAAAACAAAATTTACTTGTAAAACATGATGTCATCCAAAAAATATGTGATGCTTAATAGGGACTTTAAAATTTATGGATCAAAATATAATTAAAAAACAATATAGATTACATTTTTAAAAATAATTGATGAAGTATATTCCATTAAATGGAACCAAGTAATATACAGAAAAAAGCAATTAAACCTGAATGTGGTTATCAAATTAAATTGATAATGTATGCTTTCTTTCAAATTTAATGCATTGGAAATTAAAAAGTTGATATGGATTGATTGAGTTTGTAGATGTATATTATTGTAATATATATGTAAAAATACTTTATCAATATATGTAAAATATATATTGTAAAGTATATGTAAAAATACTTTTTCAATACACATATATATTCTAATATTGTAGAAATTTTATAAATTTATGTGTTCTTCATGACTTGAATTAGATTTTTTCTTATATGTGCAGTTCCCAACTTTTGTACTTAGTTTAAGTAACATATTGTCTGAAGGTCAGACAATAGAGTTGCATGTTATAAATGGTATTCTATTCCAAGAGAGCTAAAAAGCAAATTATAAGATTTTTTAAGATTGTAAAAAAAAATATATAATTTTCCTATGCATAAAACATTAAAAAGAATGTTAAAACTATAGATTATGTAGATATTGTCTCGTGAAAATTAATTTTTATTGCCTAAAAATGATTTTGATTTTACTGAAACTAAAATTGGCAGAGAGTGCTATTGTGCAAAAGCACAATTTTTGCCAGCTGAAAATATATGAATGTCCAAATTTGATATATAAAAGGTGATTTAACATTATTAAAGTATTCAAAGTATTGTGCACAAAAGAAAATCTAGGATTGCTTGTATATCATCATTGTATCAAGTCATCAATTTATATTCTACTTGCATCCTATTTTAATAAGTTTTAAAAAACTGTCTTGTTGTTATTTTTTAATATTCTTTAGGATATCTTTAAATACTTAAGATTTCAGTTATTAAATAATTACTTGTTTAATTTTTTGGTTGAATTAATCATATTCTTTTCTGATATAAATTATTTTCTAAAAGTCTGTTCTATAAAGTATTGTAGCTTATGTGTTCACAAAATAAATATTGTAATCAGAATGAATGACCTGTTATGACCTGCCATGGTCAAAATAAATGTACTTACTGAAGAAAACAAAAATATAGTTCAAATTAAGTAAGTAAATTTATACTGTAGCAATTATTTTTTTATATAGTCTATGATTAATATATTATCAGCACACATCAGACTGTGTGCTGAATAGTATTGATTATGCTAATTGCAGAGATAACATATACAGTGAAACCCTGATATATGAGCTTATTCTGTTCTTGAAACTTATAAATCAAAATTGCATAAATAGGGATAAGCTTTTTACATTATTTCTTACAATCAAAATTTGTTCCTCATTTCAGCATAATTCATTCATTCTATCCATATTCTCTAAATAAGATTAAAAGTGCTACAAAACAACCTATTTAACTGTCAAACAATGATTCAAAATAAAATGAATAAAATATAAGCAGTAGACTATTTACCAATATAGAAGGAATTAATTTGACATAAAATGGTTGATAAATATTGCATTTGTTCTTTTATCTATTTATTTACTGTATTTACTCGCATATAAGATGAGGTTTTTCTTCATTTTTGATTGCTTCAAAAACCTAATACACATGAGCAAAGGATTCTTTGCATTTTTGCAATAATTCTTGTGATCCGTGTGTTTGCATTTTTTACTGGATGTTCACCCTCTGGTGTTTAAAAACAAAAGTATTTTATCTGGGTCATTTCAATTGTTCTTGTGTATTGTGAGGAGTAAAGATGAAAAGCAAAGCTTTTGAATTGAATTCCAATTTGAAATTGCAAAATCACAGAGGAGCTTGATATAAGTTTTAATCCATTCCCATGTGAAAACAGGTGATTATTCAGAAATCAAAATTCGGAGAAACTCATAAGTATAATTGACGGAGAGTGAATTTGACTGTTAAGAATTGGCATAAAAGGTTTCCAATTCTCCAACTTTACATGAACAAATTACGTCAATTTTACAAGATTTTTCCTTAATGTTTAAAATGCCAATAATTTTTACGGGACAATGTGTGCATTTACATACATTTGACATTTTATTTGTGATTAAATGAAATAAAATTAAATTGTATTAATAAATCTAATTTTCTTTATTTTGATCTGTAAAGTAACANTTGCATAAATAGGGATAAGCTTTTTCCATTATTTCTTACAATCAAAATTTGTTCCTCATTTCAGCATAATTCATTCATTCTATCCATATTCTCTAAATAAGATTAAAAGTGCTACAAAACAACCTATTTAACTGTCAAACAATGATTCAAAATAAAATGAATAAAATATAAGCAATAGACTATTTACCAATATAGAAGGAATTAATTTGACATAAAATGGTTGATAAATATTGTATTTGTTCTTTTATCTATTTATTTACTGTATTTACTCGCATATAAGACGAGGTTTTTATTCATTTTTCATTGCTTCAAAAACCTAAGTTGTCCTATACGCATGAGCAATGGATTCTTTGCATTTTTGCAATAATTCTTGTGATCTGTGTGTTTGCATTTTTTACTGGATGTTCACCCTCTGGTGTTTAAAAACAAAAGTATTTTTGTTTTTAAACACCAGACAAGTATAATAAAACTGTATAATAATGTAATTTCATTAGTGATTGCAGAGATATACAATGTGCAAAGTTTAGTGAACTTTATTACAATGAATAGTACTGTCTCTTGTGAATGAAGATAAGATGAATGAAACAAAAAAAATGGAGACTTTAAGAACAGTATAATCACAGTGTGTGGGAATTTCAGTCTCATTGCATTCATGATTAGAATACTTTATTATTGAAATATTGATTAGAGTCATTATCAATATTCTGTTGAATATTTCATCTTGTGAATGGGGAATATCATATTCATATATCATGACAATAAGAAGTTTTCAAAATTTGGAAGTAGTCTTTGCCTAAATGGCAACAATATTAAAGACATTCTATTTTGTCCTGTACAAAACAAAATTTACTTGTAAAACATGATGTCATCCAAAAAATATGTGATGCTTAATAGGGACTTTAAACTTTATGGATCAAAATATAATTAAAAAACAATATAGATTACATTTTTAAAAATAATTGATGAAGTATATTCCATTAAATGGAACCAAGTAATATACAGAAAAAAAGCAATTAAACCTGAATGTGGTTATCAAATTAAATTGATAATGTATGCTTTCTTTCAAATTTAATGCATTGGAAATTAAAAAGTTGATATGGATTGATTGAGTTTGTAGATGTATATTATTGTAATATATATGTAAAAATACTTTATCAATATATGTAAAATATATATTGTAAAGTATATGTAAAAATACTTTTTCAATACACATATATATTCTAATATTGTAGAAATTTTGTAAATTTATGTGTTCTTCATGACTTGAATTAGATTTTTTCTTATATGTGCAGTTCCCAACTTTTGTACTTAGTTTAAGTAACATATTGTCTGAAGGTCAGACAATAGAGTTGCATGTTATAAATGGTATTCTATTCCAAGAGAGCTAAAAAGCAAATTATAAGATTTTTTAAGATTGTAAAAAAAAAAATATATAATTTTCCTATGCATAAAACATTAAAAAGAATGTTAAAACTATAGATTATGTAGATATTGTCTCGTGAAAATTAATTTTTATTGCCTAAAAATGATTTTGATTTTACTGAAACTAAAATTGGCAGAGAGTGCTATTGTGCAAAAGCACAATTTTTGCCAGCTGAAAATATATGAATGTCCAAATTTGATATATAAAAGGTGATTTAACATTATTAAAGTATTCAAAGTATTGTGCACAAAAGAAAATCTAGGATTGCTTGTATATCATCATTGTATCAAGTCATCAATTTATATTCTACTTGCATCCTATTTTAATAAGTTTTAAAAAACTGTCTTGTTGTTATTTTAATATTTAATTTACAAAGTGTTTCGTATTATTTCCTTAATATTTGTAATAACAAATTCATATTATCTTATTTGTTTTAGTTTTCATTTTGATTACAAAATTTCTTTAAGAATTAATTGTTTGTTATTGAAAATATATAAAAATTTTTTAAGCAGAAAACTTTAATTTATTATCAAGGAAGTTTTAAAATTTTAAACACAAATAATAATATATATTAGATATGAATTTTGAAGCTATAAATAGATTATTTAATTTTTGTTTATAGGAAAGTTGTTAGAAAAAATGTTGAAAAGAACACGAGAAAAGTTTGCTTATGATAAGTGTTATCCTCATAAATTCATTAATAAACTGTAGAAAGGGAAATTGCTTCTAAAATCTACATCATTAATTACAACTAAATCTATCTGCAACTATTGTTATTCTGAATTAATATTTTTCAAAGGATATTATTTCAGACTTAGCTGCATATGCTAAAATTATACTTAATTTTTTTTTTTAATTATTTACATATATACTGTACAGTACATTTTAATGCTAAATTTGAAAATGGCATCATCATCATCATCATCATCAGTAAAGTTAGAAAAGTTACAAAGATCGTCATTGTTTTGCATATAAAGTTTTTGGCTTTGAATCTGAAATTCTTTTTTGATATCAAATCACATTACAAATGACTTAATTGTTGAAACCACTAATTTAATGACTGTGAAAATAAAGATATAATCTCAAAAGTTGTTTATCCTTTTTCAAAATTTTTTCTCTAGCAATTATCACTGATAATTTCATAAAAAAAGAATCAGTATAGTTTGATAAATTTTAATTTGTAAGATTCAATTTTTTATCAAAGAAGAATTAAATTTTTAATTAAAAATTTTTTTCAGAGAAAAAGCAAGTCAGGAATTGAAAAGATTACGGCAACATCATCAGTTTTTTGATTCCAGTACAGGATCTTCAGATCCTCATTCATCTCCTCAAAGCTTACCTTCTAGTAGTCATCATATTTTATTTACACGTTTTGATAAACAAGTTCAAACCTCACCTCTACGTGATCAAACTTCAATAGAAAAACATACTGATTTTGTGTATACGTCCTTAACAGAAGTATCTACAAAGTGAGTTCATATTCTTTAACCAATATTTAAAACATCTATTGATCAGTTAATGCTTATTTCTTAATGATGATATTATTTTAAAGCAAAGAGAATTCTCAGAAGAAAACCATTTTAATTCAGAATTCAGATGAAGAAAATAATTATAATGTAGAATCAAAGGTAAGAAAAAAACATTTAAATTTTTACATATTATGAGTGCAATTATTTATCATGGAATTCTGTTTTCAGGATAGTCAAAAATAAGGAATTTAATTATAAAACTGATTATTAAAATTCTGTACAAAGTGGTTTTGTTATGTATTAAAACCGATTTATTTTAAAATAATAATAAATATATTTTCTTTTATATTTGAGGGAAACATTATCATTTAAAGTTTTTTTTAATTCATAAACTACAATACATTTGAACAATATACACTTTTATACATTTACAGCATCAACATAATTATAACATCCAACAGAAAATGATTTATACCAGATAAATCATATTGCATGTCACTAACCAAACATAGGTTTCTCTTTTCTTACTAACAAATATTCTTGCATAATTAAAACAACAAAAACATCAAGTTTCTGCAATACAATACAATATCAATTCTTGCATAAAGAAAAACAATATAATGAGGTTGAAACATTTATACATTTTGGTCCATATTGTTACATGAAAATTAAAATAAATGCAATTTGGAATGCTTATTAAGTTAGTTTACTCTAAAAATTAAATATAATTTCGAGAGGCACTTTGTCAGTCCAAAATATTGAAAATAATTATTTATTTACAAGTTGTATTTAAAATCTTATTTGTATTTATTTTTCCACAAAAATAAGTTATAAATTTCCTGGGGAATATGAGGTATGAAAATAAATTGTATTTCATTTAAGTTATGAATTATTATCCCTCATCATGAGAGAAAAATATATAAATATTTATAAACATAAACTACTTTTAAACTTTTGTCTCCGGTCCTTCACTTTTTAGAATGAATGAATCTCTCAGGCGTAGCATTTGTAGAGCCGAAATATAACCATATGCTTTATTGTACCATTCTGATGAATGACCACTGAAACAATAGTTTAAATAAAAAATTATTATTTTTTTAAACAAAACTTACAGATAAATTGCAATTTACTTACCACAAATCTATCCTACTAATGTAAGATATTCTAGATTTTCCTGAACCACAAGGTTCAATCAAATAACGAGAAGCCAGTACCAAACCTTGTATGCTGTTCATCATTAATGGTTTATTTGAATAATTTATAGACATTTCAATGAGAATACAAGTACCTTTTGGTAAATCTGTTTGCCAAGACCTAGAAAAAATAAATAGGATACCATATTTTTTTAATAATCCAAAATTTTTATGTAATAGTGTATATTAATGCATGACAATTAAGTAAAAATATAGTAAAAAAGTAATGTTCTTTTAGATTAATTAAATTAAATAAATGTAAACACAACTATTTTTTTTCATTAAAATTTCACTATGTTATGAATTCCAATTCATTTAGAGTTAAATATATGAATCTTTTCTCTAAACTGCAACATGTTATTTGAATGGAAAAAGTATATTATATTATATTATATTTAGGGAATTCCTGTTGATGTAAAATGCTGTCATGATGTATGGATTGTGTTCCTGTTTTTTATTTTGCTTATCTCTTTTTTCCAGTCCCTCCCCATTCTAGTTTGCATCATTGAAACATCCTTGTGAATTAGTAAACAATCACAAAATTTCTTTCCAGTTTGGGTATCCTATATCCTTGTAAACTAGCAAAGAAAATGTTATTACTACAATGCAGTAATCTAGAAAATACAGGGAGGAAATTTTATTAAACTATTTTTCTTTTTTACATTACAAAACTAGTTATTTTGTGATATATTAAAAGTTTTTGCAAAACAATAAGTGATAAGTATCAAAATATACATTCACAATTCAAAATTATGCTCTTTTGTCATCAATGGTAATGTTTATATATGTCAAATTTTTCAAATAGTAAATATCACCAGAACAATAGTTACTACATCAAGAGAATACAATAATTGGAGAAGATCCAGACAAAATTTTCCTTAACCAACTTTTATCCTTAATTTTTATGATTAATTTACAGTGAGATTTATATTTAAAGCTAAATTAATTCTTGTCTTTTTTTCTTGGCTTCTTATTTTTGCAAAATTTTCAAGAAAGCTGTGTGTTTAGTTTTAGTTTCTCTTGTTTTCATTACTAGTATGGTGCTTCTGTAGAGTGTTAGTAGGATCAAATTCATGTGTGTGATGTATTTAGAATGCAACCATTGCGTAATTTGAGAATTCATTTACAGTCCCTTTTTTATTTGTGTCTAAACTGATATGTGACATGTTAGAAAGATGCACTAAACTAGATTTTAAAAAAATACATAATAATGCATTATAGGAAATTAGTATTTAGAGAAATTGTTATTTTTTTACTGATAGAAATTTCAAATAGTATATTTCCCATATTAGTTAAACTTTTAGGAATTCCTATATTGTGCTTATACTGCAGAGATCGAAAGTGACTTTTGAACTGTAAATCAAGAATATAATTACATTGTGAATGAAAAATTCACTTCATATATGATACTTTAAATTCTAAATAACTAACCTTAAAATGCAGTAATCTCTTGGTGGGTGAGGAGGCATTGAACGACATACATATTGGAAAATTTCAGAGTGTTTATCTAACCTTGTAATGACACGCCATTTAATAAAAGATTCATCCCAAACTTGTCTGAAAATTTAAATTTATAATTTAAATAAAAAGTTGAAAGATGTGATTTTATTTATTTTATTTGATAGATAAAAATTTACCTCTCTCTTAGTATGCGATTCAGAACTTCAACAGGAGGTGCTTCAACTTCTACTACCACTTTCCATAATCTAAGAGGATAATTATCCCTTATTTTTTTATAAGCAATGTCTGCACCATCAGTCTGAGTAAACGGAACCCATTCTTTGTATTTATCTCTTGCTTCCTGCATGTATAAATTCATTTGTTTAGGAAATGCTTAATAGAAAATTTATGTAAATTTGTATAAACCTAACCTTTAACATATTATTAATGCATCCATCAATATAAACTTTCCAATCAGAATTTGTTTTGCTTGCAAATCTTCCAAATTCTTCTAAAGTAGCAGGCTGACAGTGTTCAAGATAAGACATGTGTTGATTTGATAACATATCTTCTGACACCTATAATGTGATTAATGAATTTGTAAAATTAATATTAGAATACTGTTTAATGACATTTTAAAATGTGTAAAATACCAACTGTAAACAACTGCTTGTATTCTAAGATCATCTTGGTTAAACATTCATAAGCTGCACGATTCTCATTCAATTCTTTTTGATCTAACACAACAACTGTTTTTCTCCTCCTTGGACTAGCACTTGCACTTCGAGGTGTTGTCAAATGAAACAAAGATGGAGCAAAACACACAGCTAAGTTGGTTGCTGTCATCTATAAAAATTAATATACCATTTAGGATTTTGTTTTTCCAGTACCACATTATTTTTAAAATATACTAACTTGATTTTCTCCAGCATGCTGATAAACTTTATTAAGAAATGTTAGCAGTGTATGAAGTACTTCTCTGTTTTCATCTGGCATTAGTAGAATTGCTGCTCGCAATGCATCCAGTCTCTGTTCTTCGGGAACATCTGATTTATAAATGAATAAATTTTATATTCTTTGTTTAATTATGGTTATCTACAAATAATTATATCTTACATTGAAAGATACTAATAAATGTTTCTGATAGTTTATTAGTCAGGAGAGCTTCTGGTAATTCTCGAAAATATTGTTTAATCATGTCTGCCACATCGTATGCTTGTTGATCTTCATATTCAATTTTTTCTGAATTGGATTCATTTTGATTTCTTAGTTTCTGGATGCGAGATCTAACTCCACTTTTTCTAAATATGCCTACTAAGTCCAATGATGTTTTCTCTATCCAAACAAGAGCATCTTGAATAGAAGGTGGTAATGAATATCCTGTCCTTTGTAAAATTACCAATAATGGAACACCAAAAACTATCTTATCTACAAAAATTGAAAAAGTTAAAAAATATTATCCAAAATTAAAACAGAAATAAGTTTTATATATATATATGTGTGTGTGTGTGTGTTATGTACCTTTATAATCTGGTGTTTTTATTCTTCGAATAAATTTTGGTACTGCCCAGTTCCATCCAGTCCTACTAGATGGAGTATATTTTTCCATTAGCATTGTCACTTTCAGCAATGACAATTTACGGAGGACCATTAATTGCGGTGCATATAAAACTTCAATACTTATTTTGCTATTTATGGTACTTGATTCGGATGCAGAATTCCAAAAGGGATCACAAGGAAAACAGTGCCATCTTGAATGTATATTACTAGAGCTAAAATTTAGAATGGAAAACAATTAGTTGCAAGTTATTAGCTGAAAGATAAGAAATGTGTAATTAAAATTAACCATACGTAATAGTTCTATTTAATGAGGAACCAACTCCAGAATCTCTTCTTCCTCTATATGTACTAGTATCTATACTATCAGATATTTCTGGATCACTATTAGTTAATCTTGTTGATATATCATCTAAGCATGAAAAATGTTAAGTGAATTGTGTTATATGAACCAAGATATCCTTAAACTATAATTAAAACTTACCTCCAGAATATATCAAATAAGAATCTAATATCTTTTGTTTATCTGTATCAAGAGAGCCAGTTCGATTAAATAAAACCGGAGAAATTAAACTATCACTAAACTTTTTATATCTGTGACTGAGATAGTTCCAATCTATATCTTTATCAGCTGGATGTTCATTTACATTGCCATAAATATGTTTACCTGAATATTTATGACTTTTTGATTGTATATATTCATTTAAAAGTTTGTTGTTAAAATTAGTATCAGTCCATTGATCAGGAAACAGGATCACATTTTGATCTATATCACAATTTGAATCTAATTTCTGTTCACCACGACCGAGTATTCGCCAAACTTTCCTCCTGTGTTTCATTTTGGGAGTACTCCCCTGACTTCCTTCTGATGTGTCGCCTCCTGCTGAGCTTTCTTCTGTAGTGGTGGAAGTAGGAGACTGTTGTTGATGTGATATTTTTGGTGACGAACTAGTACTACAGTTGGGACTAGTTTCTGTTGTTTTGTTTGCTGTAACCATGATTATATCACGAGATTCAGATTCTTCCTGACTATTCTTTTTCTTTTTCTTTCCTTTCAAACTGTCCATTCGTCTTAAGAGTGCCTTGGCACCCTCTTTAATTCTGTCACTTCCACTGCGTCTAAGACTCTTTTTTACCTGGGGCTTTTCATTCAGTTCTGTAATTATGCTGGGAGTTCCACCCGAGCTGGAACCCGAAATGGATTGTGTTTCTTCAGTAACTGCAGATCTCTGTCCTTCCAAAGACACTTTTCTAGTACTATCAGGACTGCTTTGATGATCTTCACCAAAAATACTGTCACTGCTATAAGAAGGAGAGTATTTCTTCACGATAAAAGCTTCTGTGGTACTCGGTACCCTCGACCACCGTCGATTAGATCTCTCGAATTGCCAGCTGACGCTCAAAGCACAGAGTTCCTCTTCATCCGAGTCATCATCTGGTAACTGTAAAAGTATAACGTTTTAATCCAAGGAAGGGAAAGTAGAGACCAAACAACCGTACATGGCCAAAAGCATCAAACAAATGAGAATTTTATCCAAGCAGAGAAACATTAAACCAAAAAACTACCATATAAAAAACAAATAAAGAAGAAATATAAGATGGAACTCACTGAATGTCTTGTCACAGAGTCAATGGCCTTCATTTTGGCACATCTGTTCAGGGTATCAAGTCTCCTGTGGGAGTAATAAGAAAAAAACTACATAAATTAGTTCATAGGACAACACTAACTTATTGACCGAGTGTGTGATTTGCGGCTTTCATACTTTAATTTTAGCATCCGAAACACGACACTAATTTGCAAGCATCACGTGGCAAACAGAGAAGCCATAGATATATGATAGTTTAATATGGCAAGTTTATCTATTTTAAATATTTTTCCCTATGAACTTTAAACTACGACAGCAAGAATTTATTACAAACCACTTCCTTCTTTCTCTCTTTTAGTGGCTAGTTTTAACTTACCTAAAAAGTGACTGTAAGGAATCTTCATCTAAAAAGCTATGATCTGCTTGAACTGTTCTTAAGTCTATTGGAAATTGGTTTTCTGAAAATAAATATTTTAAGATTAATTTATTAAATATACAATTTAAATAAACTGTTTTTTTATTTTATTGTTAAATTATGAATCACCTGCAAGTGTTTCATTGCAAAACAATACATAGTTTGCAGTGAAGCATTCGCAGGCGCCTTATATATTTTTTTAATGCTAGGGATTTAACTTAACGGACAGGATCATTTATGTACACTAAATCATTAAAATTCTATTCTTCAGTGTTTCAAACAGCATTTTGCTACGTAACAAAAGCGAAACACGTCACGTAATACACAGTGTACACAGTGGAGTCGGTTTGCAAGATCGATCAAATCAGAGCCTTTAATAGAACTTTCTGTTAACGTCACGCTTTACATAATATTTAAATCCGATCTATCAGCGAGCATTCGTAAATTTAATTTTATAATTTGAGAATCTTAAATGAATTTATTAATTCGTCTGACAGAAATTTACATATTAGTTTAACAACTAGATATCGACTCTATTTGACATTTATATCAAACTGATGGTGAGTTAAGCGGAAAAAAAATAGTATTTTAATGAATTCCATCTCATTAAAACTTCTCTATAATTAACTACCATTTCATCAAGAGTTTTTGTAGATTCTTGGACTTCTTTGTGCAGTTTTTCTTGAACTAACGTAGGAAATAAAATGACGAAAAATATGACAGAATTTAAAGAGCAGTTTCATTTCATTCGTGTTAAATAGTGCTCCACATAGTTCTGAATAGAGAGAAATGTATTACTTCCTCATTCGTGCGAGAAACTGGCTTAATTAATTAATTTATTTGTTTAAACGCATTATTTTTCACTTTAAACATCTGTTAAAGCGCAAGTTTTCTTGCTATTTTTGTCCGTGCAAACATCTTACAATCGCTTAACTATCTCCCTTCCTCCCTTAATCTAGAGTCTAAAATAGGAAAAACATTTCCTCGTCCACTTACTTACCTTCGTACATCTGGGCATATTGAGGGAATCCTGCAGCTCGAAGCCATAGGCAAGCCTCCAAAGTTTGCAGTTCTGAAAAGAAGATTCGAATTAAATCAAATTTCCGGCGACAAAAATTGAAATTTTTCTCAAATTGCGCCGAGTTTAAAAGCGATTAAAAACTGTTTTCCCCCCTTATATGCTTCTCCGCCAGGCAGAAAATTATTACAGGAAAGCTATATTATTTTTGTCGCCTTCGTCTTTTAATTTTTTTCCCCCCATTTTCGCCGATGTTTTTGAGTTCAAAATAATTTTATACGTATTAAGTAGAATGAGTTCGTTGTAGTCTTACAGGAACATCCACCCACTCATGCGGGCAGACCCGGAGGTCATCGTAATACAACCACACCTTTGGGGTGTATCCGCAGGTGCAAAAGAGAAGAAGGTGGCATCTGTTCAAACATCGCGCGCAGTACTCCAAAAATTCTGTTTATCTGCTGAATTAGGACGATGACCCGGGGTCCTGGCTCCTCTACTTGATGCTCGACGTCACGCATGACGTCACAATGTCCTTGATACTCTTAAGTATCACCATTCTGTATAGTTCCTTCCAAATTTTCGTTGTTTACCTCCGTCCGACCTCTTATATATATATATATATAATGAAAGAAATTTAGAAGGAAAAAGCAAACTAAACTGGCAAACAAAAAAAATAAATTGATTTATATACTTTAGAATTTCCTCAAATGAAATTTCGACAGACATGATGCAATAAATGGGATTTTTGCGAAGTAAAGGCTATTCTCGAGAGCTTCTAAGAAATTGGTTTTAAACGAGAAATAGTGCAGGAGTGGATGAAACATCCCCTCCTTTCGACATCTTCCCAGAAAATTTAAAGATGCCGAAAGAGTTATCGATCTATTATTCATTAGAGAAAGCGAAAGATGTCTGGAGAATCCGTTTGTCATCTTCACTAATTTAGGATTTAAGTAAAATACTTTCTTCGCCCGTCTCTCGTCGCGAGCGATTTAAAAATTAAAAAAAAATAATAATAATAAATCTCTACTAATTATGTCACAAATTCATTCAAAAAAGGAAAGGTATATATATATATATTTTCTTCTTCCATTTTGACAGTAGCTGACCTTAGAAACACGATACGACCTGTCGTTTAACCACGCAGAATCTTCCTGTAAACTAATTTGATAAAGTCAACACCCCCAGATAAGGAAATTCTAGTAGACTCGAACGAACTCCGACCTCTTTTTATCACAGTAATTCTATATCTATAATTAAAACAATTTCTATAACCTCTAGAAAACTATTGGTCGAAGATAGGAGAATTTTTCGATTATAGAAAATCGTAACTTGTTTCATTCTAGGAGATTATAAACTTCCAGAATCCGCAAAGATTACAAGAGAAATAAAGCTTTACTTATCGCAGCCGTAGGCAGTTTTATGAACAGAAATGAAAGGAAGGATTTGGAACGAGTGGGAATTATTAAAATGTATAAAAAATATATATATATATATATTTCATAATACTCTCACAAGAATAGAGAATCGCGAGTTATAAGAAATACACCGCAGTTTGCGAGAAGCGATTTTGTCGCGTCGTTATAGTTTTCTTGCGAAATTGCTGAGAATTTTTGAAAAATTGTTCCGATTTCGAGAGTATACGTTTCACTTTGTAATAACATCCGCTTATAAGCTGAAACATAATATAGGCCTACACTTAAAAATCAGAGCGAATTTTTTTTTAGAAGCTTTAAAAAAATATATCAAGAATGTTTATTGACAGATGAAGTTGTTTGTTTTAGTATTTTGATTTATATCATATGAAATCGCTATCAACAGTTATTTCTATTAGAGATTTGCGGTTTGTTTTATAAACGTATTTATCTTTTAGAGAAGTCGCAGATCGCGTAGAATCATTGGCGACTTCTCTAAGCGATTGATTTTTATTTGGCTTTTTACACGCAGAGAAATCGGCACGATTCGCAATATAAAGTGCAAATCGCAAATTTGCGATTCTGTACTTGCGATTTATATCGCAAATCTCGTAAATTCGTTATCCTAAACGGTTTTAAGTAGAAAAAGTTGGCCGTGGATAGAAAAATCGGCGACAAAACGTGCAAGGTTTTATTTAAATTTCACTTTAAAAAATTCAACTAGGCGGCGAGAATTTTCGATTTATTTCTTGAAATTTGCTTCGTCGCTGGCGATTTTTTTAAGATGTAGGCCTATACGTGTGTGTGTATATACGTACAAAATAATAATAACTGATTTAATGAAGAGAATGGCCTCAAATCACGCACCCGTCACGAGCGAACGACGGAAGAAGAGACCCGCTCGTCATGACAACCCAAATTTCAAAACTCGCCTTTCTCAACAAACGAAACGTCCTCAATCCTTTACCTCCTACGCACCCGAATAATTGACTCTTCCGTGACGTCACCAGACCTTCTTCCTACCCCTAGTATACGGCTCTTATCACTTAATAGTCACACTACCTCTAGGCATTAATTAACCTTGACGAAAAGTAAACAAATTTCCCACTAACATATAATAGATTAGTCCCAAAACACTTGGATTCGCTGGAAGAGTGACCTTGACCCGAGTCGCTTCTTCTGAATCTTTTTTTTTTCTTCTGTAGTTTAGCCGGAGCATCGCGCCTTAATAGACAATGCTACGAGTGTTGCGACACGCGGTTGATAAAACTACAGTGGAAGAGATAGCGCTACACCTAAAACGAGTGGAGTGCGTGTGTTCCTCGCGCGCTTCTCTTCCTTTCCCCCCACCGCTTCTGTAGAGAGTAACGATAATTCGACCGGAAACCTCTCAAGATTTCCTGACGTCATCGCTTCGCACCCTCCTCGAGAATGGCTAGAGACGTTTCCAGTTTGATTGCTAATTAATGTCGATGGGAGGTTTTAAACTGCCAAGGTTAATTTATCTTATCCCCGGCCTTAATCCGGATTAGGATCCAAAAGAGACATCTTAATCTGTTTTCGAAGGATCATCGAGATCGGGATAATTAGACTAAAGGAAAATCCGTTTAAGTGCGTTAATATTGGTGTCGGAGAGATTTTTTAATGCCTCTTCGGTGACGAAAGCGCGTTTGGTGTCGATTCGGTGTCTTGGTCGGTGCCACTATAAAAATCCATTTGATTTAATTGGCGTCAAGGACGAGCGCGCGGTCACGTGACGACGGGATTTCGCGTAACGGAGTGAATTTTAGAACGAAAACTTTACCTTGGAAAGACGTCTACGAACGATCGTGACCTACTTTTGTTAAGGACGGGGTGGAGATCGTTTAAGAAACAGAGTAAATTCTCGAAGGATCACTAACCTGGAAGATGAGAGTCTCTGGGTTTCCACCATCGATCCCTTCTCAGATAAATCGCTCCCTTTCCACTCAGCCTCTCGCTGAAGCTCCTGACAAACGTTCGGTTTACTTTACCCGATTCTGGATACATGGCAGGCACGTGCGGCTCATCAACATCACGCGTGTAGCCGGAACTGGAGAAGTGACTGAGGCTGGCGAGTCTCGATGCTAAGAGTAGGAGAAACGAGCCGTGACTGGTTGCTAGCCGGCGCGGGCTCCCGCCTCTTCTCCGTAACAGGTGTGACGCTCCTGACGTCACTCGTATCTCACAAAGAAACGCGTGTTTGAATTGTCGGCCGCTACGCAGTGCACCCCTTCTCGATTCTGTTCTGGAAAGAGGCGCAGAGAGAGCGAAACGTTCTGACACCTGCGTTAATTAGTAACCAATGGCGGGCAGCGAGGAAAAACGAGACTTTTCTACTTGACCCGACACCACTTCAACCCGAAGAACGGGCGCCTGTTAAACAAACAAATGCCGTCGGGCCGGACACAAGTGGCCACTCCAAGTGTTAAAATTTCCATTGTCACGCTTCAGACATCGTGACGTGAACGGTCGAGTGGGCGAAGAGAGAGTGTACAGCACGTCTATCGATCACAACCGATTCCTCTTCCCGATTCGAATACCGTAAAATGCAATTTCTGTACCCATTTGAATGATAATGACCCCCATTGATCGACCCGTTTCGTAAATGTCATCGAGTCGCTCGACGCGCTCCCTCTCTCCAGACGGGCGTAACAATGACCTTAAACCAAGACGACGCGTGACACTTCTCCAATACGCTCGTATGCCTTAAAAATCGAGGCGGAATCCGTTACCGTGACGACTGGTTCGATTTTAAGTCGGGTTATTTTCCTTTCTGGATTCTTCTAGAGAATGCAACAGCTGAGTCAACTCTCCCGCCATTAACCAAAGGCTGATTCGATAAAATACTACATAAAACGAAAAAGCGAGTTGCAGAATCCAATTTATTTTTATAAAGATGTCCGCACAATAGAAAAATGGCCGGCATCTAATATACATAAAAAGCGGTTGCATTTTTTAAAACTGCCGCATAAAGATAAGTCATATGGCGTTTAGTAGTTCGTATCTTACCTCCTGTCATGTCACATTACTGTTCAGGATTTTGCTTTGTATTAAAATATACGACTCATGTTGTGTTCACACTACATTTACTGGTTTTTATCTTTGTTCGCGTGTTATAATTGTATCTCATCGGCTATATTCTTGCACCACAAACACTAGACATTGTATGGTACAAGTGTCTTGAGTCATCTTTATCCTTCATTTAGTGGTTGAGTCTTAAGTGGTACTATGACTAAGATATGACCGCCGGACATTGTTTCCAGTCATAAGATGAGTCGTAAACACAAAAGGTAAAATGGACACTAATCATAAATATATTACAATACCTTTAAGCCGTGATAATAAGTAACTAAGTTGTATTTAAAACATGTGACTGTATTTAATTAAGTATTGTACGATTTCAAAGCCTGGTATGTATAACACCATCTTCGTATTGTGTAATTTCGATATTAAATTTTATTACACCGCAGTTTATTGCCAGTTTGTAGATATTAGCGGTAACATGACAAGGACGATACCCGAAATCCACGTTCGGGAACGATAAAAGGAGATCGAGTTCAAAAAAAGGGGTTAAGGGGAGGAAGAGGTTAACTAGATCTTCGTGAATGGCGCTGGGTTAAC